ATGCAATAGTAAGAAGGAAAAAATGTTTGTCATTTTAAATGACATAGACTTACGTTATTTTAAGAGAGAGATAGACACATGATTTTATTCTTATTTAAAATTTAAATTAAAAAAACTATCCACTTTCTCTCTCCCATGATTTTCATTTCATGTGTCTATCTAAAATGACATAGCTTATGTCATTTAAAATGACAAACATCAAACCCAAGTAAGAAATTATTAACGACATCAAGCTGGAACAATTGTTCCTTCAAAATATCTTGTTTCAATTATTAATACATAAATATAAGATTAAATTACAATATAAACTATGTTATATTAACATTAAACTGAAAATAAATTAAACAAGATTAAAGTGGGAGGAGTTTAATATTTCCATATTTTGAGATGTTGGCTGTTCATTAATTCATGAACATTTCTAGTAATATCTTTTATTACCTTCTCAGAGAAATTTTGAAAATTTTTAATACATGTTTTGCCAAATAAGAAACTCAAGAAGATATTTATGATTTTGTTTCCTTTTCACCCTCAAGTCTTAATAGAGTAAAAATAAAAATTCAGATTCAGAATTGAATAATCAGATTTAATTGTTTCATCAATTTTTTTTTTTGGTAAACATTGTTTCAGCAAATTAAATCTACAAGAAAGTAGCACTGTAAGAGATTTAACAATGATAAACAATACTTTTCGAAATAAAAATAAACCAAAAGAAAACAGAAATCCATCAAATTAAAATATTTATTTATTTATTTTACATTTTAAAAAAAAAAGTATATATACTTTTATACAATATTCTGTAATAGAATATGTTTAAATAACGTACACAAAAAAACATATGTTGAAATAATATTTGTAAAATATGTTATTTATTTATGTATGTGTGGAATGTATATTGTCATCTTGCATGCTCACTCATATCATAAAATATGTCAAAATTACATTTGCAAAAATTTAATTATTTACACGAAAGTATAATTATAACGCATGCCAGTTCATTCTCTTCCACTATAGAAAATCAAAGATACAATGAATACTAGAAAGTTAAGAAATTAATGCAAAAATAAATATATGATCTAACAATATTAATTTTAGATGTATTGTTGCATTGCTATTTTAATTATAAAGCATACTATTACATTATTTCTCCATTACATAAAATATTGATTAGTTTTTTAATATATGTTTAGTATGAAAACTAAATAATCCATGACATTAGGAGAAAGAGAGAAAAATTAAATTTAATGGTATCTTTATTATGCCTTCTGATTCTTTCGCATCATGTATGTTTTTTAAATTTTATGATAATGATTTGTTCAAAAAAAAATCAGACTGAACAATGATTCTTAACTTTTTTACTATGATGTAATGTAACTTTTTACAATACTATGATTCAAGTACTTGAAGCATGCTGTATCTTTTATATTTATCATATTTTGAAATTAAGAAATATCCGTATGGAAAGAGGTCAGATTCATTCTTGCGCATGATTGATTCACAAGGGGTGAAAAAGATTTGTTCATGGGTAAGATGAATTTGAAAAATAAAAGCAGACATTGTGGGATATAGATTGGATTCTAGTATCTGGGATGAAACCTTGAATTTACTACAATGAGAGGTTGGTATCATTCATGAACATTTTAAGCAAATTTTTTCTTACCTTCTTAAAAAAAGTTTGAAATTTGAAATACATGTATTACAACCAGTGTTTAAAAACCCGGCCCGGCCATCGACTCGGCCGAGGTCAGGGGTCATAGGGTCACGGTTCAACCGGAGGGTCACGGGTCCACTACGTTGACCCGGTTTTATATATTAAAAAATATAAATATATATATTCTATATGAAAATATTAAAAAATAAACCACCAATCATCAAAGATTCAAAATATACTTAACATAATTCACCAATTACAACCACAAGTTAATGAGATCACTACACTGATCCGGTTCTGCCTCTTTTGGGGGTCAGAGGGGTCGATGTGCATATAGGGTCCAACTTGTGACCCCAACACTCAGAGGGGAGGGGTCAGGTTGACCCGGGTCACCCGGGGGTTGGGGTGGGGTTTTAAAACACTGATTACAACTGACAAGAAATGCAAAGAAATATTTGTAATTTTATTTCCTTTTCACCCTCAAATCTAGTTATGGGAATAAAATCTTCTCATACATGATTTAACATGATAATCTCATTTGAAAAAAATCATAATCTTTTATGGACAAATAAACAGTGATAAGACGTGAGAGAAAAAATAATATCAAAATAGAAAAAAAAATAAAATCATCACCATTATTGATTCCACAATAAATTAGTAGAATCTTTTAATATAATATGATGCTGATAAAAAATATGCGAGCGAATTAATAATTTTTTTTCTCAAATTCACACTTGAAAACAAGACTTAATAATTCTTTATTATTTATTTTACATAAAAAGGTCCAAGCTCCAAAAGCAAACAAAATCGAGAGTAAATATCATTTTCGGTGCTCAGCAAATTTTACGATACCCGTTAATAAATAAAAAGGCTATTCGTGGTTCCTAAGAAATTCAAAATGGATCCAGTTTAGTCTTTTTGAGGAACTAATGCGGATTTTTTTGAATTTGTGAGGAATCACGATTTTAATTAAATGGATCCATTTAGCGAGTATCGTAAAATTTGATAAGGATAAAAAAGATACTTGCTCCAAAATCAAATTTTCTTTCTTTTCAAATTGAGATTTAAAAGGGGAAGGATATTGTGACAACCAAGTTGTGTTACTACCAAGTAATTTCCAATCAATCTTACAATTAGATCGATTATATTGATCCAACAATTATAATTATTTCCATCTTTGTATGATCATGATTTCTCAAATTTAATATTTTATATTTATTTTCACCTTTGTATGGTTATGATTTCCCATATTTAATGTTTTCACTTTAAATATGGAAAATCATGACCATATAAAGATGAAAATAAATATAACCGTTGGATCAACGTAATCGATCTAACGGTGAGATTGATTGGTAATCACTTGGTAGTAACACAACTTGATTGTCACAATATCTTTCCCCTTTAAAAAAATAAAATAAAAATTTCAACTATATCTTTGGTTTCTCTAAAACAGTAACGGTATTTTCCTCTCCCATTCAAAATCACTCACTGCCTCGGACAGACAAGGCAATCTGAAAATCAGCATTTGTCAAACGACAGCAAAATCACGCGCTCGTATCTGACGCGCTGATAAGGGAGCGGAAATCACGAACGCTTGTGTTGTCAGTGGGCCCACAAGCCTCTCTCTCTCCTGTCCTATATAATAATATTGTCAAATATATTTGTCAACGAAAGTGAGACAATTTCCGGAGAGAGAGAAAAGCATGTGCATTATCAAACTATAGAAAATATATATAACATTTGAGAGTGAGAGAGTGAAACATAGAGACAAAACTCTGCACGCAATTGGAGTCACTCGATTCAGAATTTGTTTCGAGGTTTTGGTTCAAAGGTTTTTCTCAAGAAAACCAAAATTGTGTTAGAGAAAACAAATATTCAAGAAGTTGAAAGCCATTGACTCTCTGTTTACCTTGGACTCATTGTAAGTCAGCTTTTCCATTTTTTTTATTTACTTGTTATCATCATTGTTGAATCAAAAAAATATTATCATTGTTTTCTACTTATTGATTTTTATATGTATATGTAATAACATATAATATTGTCTTGTCGTTTTCTCTTCTACAGATCCCAGAGAGAGAAAGCGTGAAAGGATCTGAAAATAAGGTTTTTTTAAAGAATAACTTTATAGCTTTTATTTTCTCTTTTCACTGTCAAATTAAAAGGTTTTCTTTTGTTTCCGTACCATGGTTGCTTTCTATTGCATATAACTCTTTTACCTTTTCTGTGTTTCTATAACATGAGGAAGGGGAGGAGAGAGAAAGTGATTGGGGTGTTTGGTGTGTCAACTGGGTCTCTTTGCTTGGATTTGATATGATGCATTTGAAAAGTCAGTGTGCAGTGTGAATTGGGTCTTTGTTTTTTTGTCTTCTTCATGAAATAATAATCGATTCTACATTGGTTTTTTTTATGTTTTCTTCTTAAAGTCAATGTGCAGTGTGAATTTTGTTTTAGTTTTTGTCCTTTTCATAAAAAAATAATCGTTTCTACAAGGTCTTTGGCTTTAGACCCTTCTGTGTTTTCTCCTTCGTTAATGTTGTTTGGGTTTTTTTTTTTCTGATGTGGAGAGTTTCCAAACATGAGAAACGGGTGTGAACATTGGATCAGAAATGAAGGGTTTTTTCTTGTCCTGTTCCTCTTTTGATCTGTATCTGGAAGAAACTTAATTCAAGAGAGAGAGAGAGAAATGGGGTAAAAGTGATGCATTTGGCGTTGACTATGAAACAGCTTTTGTTTTTTTGTTTGTAGACCATGGTTTTAAAAAAAAAAAAAGATTAATACTTTTAATCTTTGACTCACAGAGATTTAAGAAACTGAAAAAGTGCCTTGGCAATTGTGATAGTGACCATTTCGGAAAAGAACCTGGAGAACAAAAGGGTCAGATAAAGAAATATAAAATAGAGAGAGAGAGAGAGAGAGAGAGAGAGAGAGTCCTTGGCATATAGAAAGGGAGAGAAAACGGTTCATCGTTTTTTTTTTTTTGAATATTTATGGGGTTTGATTAGCAGCAACAGTAGTAACAGTGGGGGTGGGGGTGCAAGAGTTGTGGCTGATAGTTCTTCAAAGAACCACTTCATGCATAGTGTTTCCCTTGTTGAGTCGCCTCTTTTTTCTCCACCCATTACCATATCAAAGCAAAATTTCTCTACCATGTTTTTGTCCACTGTATGTTCTATCCCTCTTTGGTTTTCAATCCCTCTCTCTCTCTCTCTCTCTCTCTCTATATATATATATATATATATATATATGTATCTGTTTTATTGTTTCCTTTTTTATTGATTCTGAATTTGATTTTTGTATCTTATTGTTCATCGTTGTTGTTGTTGCTAATGGGACTATTCTGCAGCAAAGGAAAATGGAGGGTCATGATCAGATGGATCTTATTGGAGAAAATTTTGAGAATGGTTTGATGGGGAGGATGAGGGATGATGAGAATGACAGCAGGTCTGGAAGTGATAATTTTGAAGGTGGATCTGGTGATGATCAAGATGCTGGTGATAACACCCCACAGAGGAAGAAAAAATATCATAGACACACTCCTCAACAAATTCAGCAGCTTGAATCGTATGGCTTTATGAAATTCTGCAATCTTTTTTTTGTTTTTTTTTCACAAAATGTGATTATATTTATGATTGAGTTGTCTGCTAGCGGTGATTCTTATATTGGTTTTTGCTCTCATTTGTTCTAGTTTCTTCAAGGATTGTCCTCATCCTGATGAGAAGCAAAGATCAGATCTTGGTAAGAAGCTTGGTTTGGAGAATAAGCAAATCAAGTTCTGGTTCCAGAATCGGCGAACCCAAATGAAGGTAAATTTGGAATGCATTAGTATCCGTGGTGCACTTGTATATGTATGTATTTTGTTGATGCAATTATGTTACTGTTCTAAATGAATTGTTTTTCTTGAATCAGGCACAACTGGAACGCCATGAGAACATGATTCTTAAGCAGGAAAATGACAAGCTCCGAGCTGAGAACACCATGATGAGGGAAGCTATTGAAAATCCAATATGTAACAACTGTGGTGGACATGCCATTCCTGGCCAAATTTCAATGGAGGAGCACCAGATGAGAATTGAAAATGCTCGACTGCAGGATGAACTTAACAGAGTCTCTGCCTTAACAAACAAGTTCTTTGGCGGGCCGGTCTCACGGTTGGCCAGTCCCATTGCTATGCCAACCCCAAATTCTGGTCTCAACCTCTCTATTGGAAGGAATGCAATTGGTGGTTCAAGCAACTTTGCCATGCCCTTGCCAATGGGACTTGATTTGGGAGAAGGAGTTTTGGGCAATCCACCACCACCTCCTCTTCCAATGTCTGGGATTCGACCACCAATGGGAAACGGAGTCCAGATTGATCCATCTATGCTTGCTAATCTTGCAGCATCTGCTATGGATGAATTAATTGGGATGGCTCAGATAGATAACTCTCTTTGGATTAAGAGTTCAGATGGAGGGAAGGAAGTACTGAACCATGAGGAGTATGCGAGGATGTCTTCTATCTATAATGGTACTAAACCCATTGGTTATGCAACTGAAGCTACAAGAGAAACTGGGGTAGTACTAATTAACAGTTTGGCCCTTGTGGACTCATTGATGGATGTGGTATGATACCCAACTCATAGATTTAGAGCAGTCACTTACAAATTAAGAATTGATTCAAAAAAAAAAAAAAATCTTAACTGCATTGTATGTCTTGTTTATCTTCTAGATTTGTTCTCATAAAATTTGCATATAGTTAAAAAGAAATTTCTTTTAGTTTAGTAAAACAATTTAATGTGCTGATATTGCTTGTGATTAACGTTTAGTCTTGAATTGGTGAAAGTTTGTCAAACAATTCTTTTAATTTATCATCTATATCAATAGGATCTTTGGTCGGAGATGTTTCCATCTATGATTGCCAGAGCTGTCACCCTGGGAGTAATTTTTAGTGTGGCTGGAACCAGGAATGGTACTTTGCAACTGGTATGTTTCTCTCTGTTGTGTGTTTGTTTGGCTTTGTAATATTTGGCCCAAACTAATTAGGATCAATTATGCTTTTTAGATGAATGCTGAGCTTCAATTGGTTTCTCCACTGGTACCTGTTCGTCAAGTGAATTTCCTCAGGTATTGCAAGCAGCATGCAGTAGGTATATGGGTTGTGGTTGATCTTTCGGTTGACATTGGTCGCAATGCTACCAATTCATACCCAATCATGAGCTGTAGGAAGCTTCCTTCGGGCTGTATTGTGCAGGATATGTCCAATGGTTTAACCAAGGTAAGTGCTGTTCTTAAGTTATATTAAACATTTATTTCTTTTGTACTACATTTCTTGCTTGTTGAAGGTTCAGTTTTTTTTTTTTTTATTTAAAAAAATAATATTTTTGGGGTCTTTTAGTTATGGCTGGCATTTTAGTTAGGTATTAATTTATGATTATCTTATGGTTTAACATTTCCTTTGTTGTCAATTGTGTACAATGGCTTATTTATGCAATAAGCCTCCCTAATTCCATCTACAACATCTTTTCAATGAAGTTTTTTTTTATGATATCCCATTGCTTTTCAGTTCCATCTAACTTTGTTGAGACAACATATCTTAGAATTTGTTATTATTGCATTGAATTTGAGCCAATCATCAGATTTTTGAAGCTAAGTTTCACTGTTGCAGATTACATGGATTGATCATTCCCAGTATGATGAGAGTGTTATCCCCCAACTCTATCGCCCATTGGTTAGTTCAGGCATTGGATTTGGTGCTCAGAGATGGATTGCCACTCTCCAAAGGCAGTGTCAATGCTTGGCAATCCTCTCTTCCCCTTCCATCCGAGCTGAGAACACTAAAGGTATGCCCACATTGTTAAATAAGGTGACAATAAAAAAAACTTGATCACTTTGATATATATGGTGAACTTCTCATTTTGATGGAGGACATAATTCTTTCCAGCCCTAGTAGGCCAACCCGGCATGAAAAGCTTACTGAAGCTCACGCAACGCATGACAGAATGCTTCTGTTCTGGGATTTGTTCTTCGTCTATACGCAAGTGGGAGATCATTCCTCTTGCAACAATTGCTGATGACATGAAACTGATGACCCGGAAAAATGTGGATGATCCAGGTGAGGCTCTCGGCATTATGCTGAGTGTTGCAACTTCTGTTTGGATGCCGGTGTCGAGGCAAAGGCTGTTTGACTTCCTGCGTGATGCACGGATGAGAAGGCATTGGGACGACTCGGCCAGTGATGTTACAGTGAACGAGATTCACAGTATTGTTAAAGCGCAAGGACAAGGAAATTGCATTTCTATACTTCGCGCTAATGTAAGTGTTATCCTCTCACGTGTCATTTAACATGAGTCAGCTGATCGTAGACAAAGTTAAAAGCTATTCTTTCATCACTCTGTACTAACCGTCTATGAAGCACCGACTCCGACACGGCGTTTTCGATACGTTCCAAATACGTTCTCGATACGACCATTAATTTGCCGATACGATATAATACGTTTTTGATACGTTCCCGATACGCGTATCGGATACGTTGGAAAAAAAATTCGAAGTATCGGTGCTTCATAGCTAAGAGTTATTCTCTCCCATATGGTCTAATATGAGATACACATGACGAGAATAGATCTATTTTGCAAGTGCTCTTTTCTATTACTTGTTTTGCAAGTTTGCATGATGATTTCAAGTGTGTGTATAAATGATCACTTTGCTTTCTAACAATTTCTTGTTTGGGGACCTTTATAGCATGCTAATGACTACGGGAACAGCATATATGTGCAAGAATCATGGACTGATGCCACCGGCTCGATGATAGTGTATAGCCCGATAAATGCGCAGGCGTTGAAAGTGGTGGTTAGTGGTGGAGATTCTGCATGTGTAAGACTCTTGCCTTCGGGCTTTACGATTCTTCCAGATGGTAATTCAAACAGCGGCAACGGTGACGGTAGTGGCGGCGGTGGATGTTTGTTAACAGTGGGGAGACAAATCATGGTGAATAATCTCCCACAAGCTAAGTTCACAGTGGAGTCAGTTACTAGACTTAATGACACCGTCTCGGGCACCATACAGAAGATCAAAGCTGCACTTGGAGTTGCATGATATTCATTAAAGTCATAAGCAGTCTCTTTTCAGTTTTTGTTTTAGAATATGAAAAAAACTTGAAAGAGGGTCATTTTTTTTTTATTTTTTTTTGGGGATGTGTAGGGGTCTATACATAAAGTAGTAGTAGAAGAGGCTGAGACATTAAGGGTCTCTCGCAAGTGAAGGTTTCGAGTCAAGAACGAACCCCGAAAGAGAAATTTTGGGTTTTTATTGCTTCGTGGTGGTTCGGGTATTGACTCGTTACATGCGAGTTTAATTGTTGGTCTCCGCACTCTTTTTTCCGTTTTAATTTTGATGCATCCTTTTAGGTACACAGTGAAAGGGAGATAGATTCCATGACTCTTTCTTTTGGTGGTTGAAATTACATGACTTTGTTGTTACTTGTTGTCTTCTTGAATGCATTTTCAGATTTCAGTTCTTATATTTGTCTTTGTTTGTACCCTTTGATTGCTTTGTTCTCTTTATGCGAGTTTTTTTGGAACCGAATATTCTTTTTCTTCTAGTATCTAATCTTGTTTTTCAAATAAAATATTGTTAAAATAGAGTTGTAATTATTTTTTTCTTAATTGGTTTATTGATATTATAGGGTAAGTTGTTAAAATAAAGTTATGTTTGATTGTATTCTGATTTTTAATTAAGAAATTTGTTAAGGATAACCTTCACCTTTTCTCCTCTCTGGTTAAATTAATGGTTTTGTCATATTAATTGAACCCAAAATTTAATTTAGTCTTAACAATTCAAAATTATTTAATTTTTTTTACTTCTAAAATAAACAAACAACTGTTAAAAATGTAAAATAATTATTATGATATATTTATATCTAGACAAAATTATAAATATATAATAAGAGTGGGGTTTGCATTTATCATTTAAGATGACACAATAAAGTTTTCTACACACACAATATTTTGTGGGGCCCACACTTTTTGACGAAAAAAAAAAATTACAACACACAAAACGAATATCTGTAACATTACACAATCATTTTTCCTACCATATAACTCTTATAAAACCCAATAAGAATTATACAAAAGTGAAGAAGTTTAGCATACTCTACAGAACATAATAAAAAATAGAGGAAATAATGCAGCCGTTGGAAATAACCTTACTGTGTTGTGGATAAATATATTCCTTGGTAAAAGGACCAACAATGAGAGATATTGCTACAATGCTCAAGGGGATAAATTATGAAAGGAAGCAACATGCAAAAACTGATGTGCTTGTACAGGGGTCTTCTGCCATGTAATACCTTAAATATAATTAAAAAATTATTAATCAATTGAATTTTCTATTTTTTTACTTTAAAAACATGTTTTCAGAAGAAAAAAAATTACAAGCAAATTTTATTATTTTTTAACTTTTAGAATTATTTTTAAAATAGTATCAAAAACAGAATTTTTTTTTTTTCATCTTTTATTTTGTAAAACGGTTCTTATAAATTATTCAGTAATATAGTTTTAAGAAAAAACAAAATACAATCCAACATGTCTAAAATTTTCATTACTTTTTTAATATTAAAATTAAAAGAAAAATTTATTTTTACCCATTGTGATTTTATGATTTATCATTTAATCCCTGAGATTTTAAATATATCACTTAGACCTCTTATACTTAAATAATATATCATATAATCCTACCGTGATTTCAACTTTTTACTTAGATATCTTGTGGTTGAAATTTTTTTCACTTAGACCCTTTGTGGTTATAAAAATAAAAAATTTTAAAAAATAATATTTAAAATAAAATTTCCCCCTTTTTATTTCATATCCTCACCTAATGCATTTAGGATTTAAAAAATAAAAATAAAATAAAAAAATACACTTATTTTTATCAAGAAAATAAATTAAAATCAAATATTATTTTATTTTATATATTTTTTATCCGATATCGTTATAAAATTATCTAAAAAAGTAAATACCTTATTTTTGTAATACATATTTAATTTATCTTAAATAATATTTTTTAATTTCAAATATATTTTTAAAATAAATAAAAAATAAGATAATTTATAAATTAATTTTAGAATAAAAAATTTGAAATATTTTTTAAACCGTAAATGCATTACATGAGGATATAAATTAAAGAGAGAGAAAATTTATTTTAAATTTTTATATTTTAAATCACAATGGGACTAAGTAAAAATTTGAAACCATAGAGAGTTTAATGATAAATTATTTCAGCACAGTAGGTCTAAGTGATAAGTTTTAAACCACAGGAGATCAAATAATAAATCACAAAATCACAGTTGGTGAAAATAAAGTTTTTCCTAAAATTAAAAATAAATAGTGTCATATGAAAAAAGGAATGAAATGAATTATGTTTTTATAAATTTAATGGATGTAATCAACAAGCCCATGATTTTGAAATAAATCAATAGTATTTATGATATGGGCAGAATGATTGTGAGTGCAAGTGTAGCCACTTGTGAGGATGGGGAGATATCGTCGAAGGAGGTTGGCCCCATGGGACGGTATCAGTGGGGCTAAAGAACCTAGGGGATAGAAGATTGAAGAGACTAAGAGCCCAAACGAAGGGGGAGACACCTGTGAAAACCGGTGCCTGGACATCAATATCATACAAAGATTCCCCTCTGCAATTAATTGGACCAGGAGGGACGGACGATGATGTGGAGGAGGATTGGATCTGTACCGTTGAGAGCTGCAAGCCCTATATATATGTTCCCTTAGGGGGGATATATATCGTTGTATTGTATGGGTATCGTGGCTAACAGAGGTAGAGACCAAGCTATACGACGATGTCCCAAGTATAAAGTCCAACTTTGTAAGGATATGAGGCTGTGTGTAGAGGCAAGGGCTTGAGAAACTGGCAGGATAACGGTACATAAGATGGACCCCCTTTGCCTGGTGATGGAGGGGTATTTATAGGGAGAGAGGATGTCATGCTCGCATGGGAGGGCGAGTCAAGTCAACTCTCCTTGGGAAGTGCCATAGGCGCTTGACATTGCTGCAGCGACAACAATGTAGTTCTTGCTATGTTGGTGGCAGTCATTGCTGTTGTAGCTGTGGAGAGGAAGCTCTTAATTATGGGGCCTGGATAAGCTACCCGAGGGAGGTAGTATCCCAACGTTAGACATTTTGATGTCTTACCTTGGGGACACTGTCATGTGGGGACAAAAAAAAGAAAAGGTTGGTAACCCCAAGTCAACAGGGCTGATGTGGATGAGAGGAGGGGGTTTGGGCCTGCCTTAATGGGCCAACTAGTTGGGGGCCATCCAGAATAGGGTCGATAGAAAATGGGGCATCTACAAAACTCAAAGATCCTTTATGCCCAATATATCGCTTCATAAAGAAGTTCCACAAAGAGAGCTAGAGGGCTTGGAGACATGCTATAATAGTCAAACTCCTTGAAAAAATAGTAAGGGTGAAGTTGCTTTTATATAGGCTCCTAAAATTGTGAAACTTATTAGGGGCTTATGATTTAATTGACATGGAGAATGACTACTTTCTGTTCTGTTTTAGAAGAAGGTCTATGGATTGTAGTTGACCACTATGTCGTGGTGCAACACTTGAGGCCTCAATTTGATCCTCATGATGACAACTTTAGGAAGCTGAAGGCTAGGTGCGGATTTGTATACCAAGGTTGTCGATCGAGTTCTGCACAACTCACTACATAAGAAAACTGATGGTTGTGCATAAGAAAAAAAAAATTGTGCCAAAATAGAGTGATTTCCCTTATTTATTCCCTTATCTATTTCTTTGTGAGGTCGTCTTACCTCAAACTCGAGATTATTTTTAACCAATTCCCTTAGCATTTAGCACAAGCTTAAAATTGATTAAGACATCTTATTATTATTATTATTATTATTATGGAAGTGGTGTTTTTAATTTCTTTTTCTTCCAAGTATTGTTGTAGCGATTCTTTTCAAAAAGAGTAAGACCCATATTATAGAAAGTGTATCAAATAGAGACCAACTCAACTTATTCCAAAAATATTTTTCTTTGTTAGTTTTTCAATGTTTATTAAATACAATCTAAATGTAAAATGGGAAATCATACTATTATGTTGCTGGAAAAAAGTTATCTTATGTCACCCATTATAACTATTTACTCCGAAAAATACATAGTTATAATATTAAAGCTATTTTTTTCTCTCTTCAGAAGATATCGGCAAATGTGTAGAGAGAAAAAAAAATCCTCACCAAAAAAAAGAGAAAAAATAATAATTTTAATATTATAACTATGTTTTAATATTTCTATAGTGAATACAAATAAGTTATCTACATTTACTCTCAAAACAATGTCGTTTGGGTTGAATGATTAAAAAATTATATCTTTCAAGTATACCATTCTTTAGTTTTTCACAATTCTCAATCTCGCAGGACTATATATCTCAACACGCCCCCTGACACGAGAGCCCATTGGGCTTGAAGAGTGGACAATGCAACAGGCCCAACCTACCAGTGCTAAGAAACGCCACAAGAGAAAGGGGGGGCGAGGCTCTGATACCATGTAAAGAACCTTGGGATACACCACCCCAAAACTAGCTCAAAGGGTGGGAGTGCCCAAGACCTTATAAACTCCACATTAGTTGCACATACAACCAATGTGGGACTATATATCTCAACAAGAGTTATATTTAGTGACCAATGTAACTAATAGAGTAATAAACGAATGAATCAAAAGCATGAATCTACATGACTAATCGATAATCAATAGAACCAACTATATAACCTTGGAATAAATTATAATTACAAAAATACCTTAATTTTTGCCTAAAAATAACGTCATTTTGGACTCAATGCAGATAACTTATCTGCATTCACTGCAAAAAAATGAACTTTTATACCTATGCACTATCCGAAATACATAGTTATAATGAGTGACATAAGATAACTTTCTTTTTCAGCAACATGAGAAAAAATGGACCTATGTAAAAATTACTGATATTATATAAATATATAAAAGGGTTTAAAGTTTTTTTTATCTAGGAGATACAATTATCTCCTACACACATATAAAAGTGGGTGGAGTTCATGTTTTTCTTCTTTTTTTCTCATATGGCCCCAAATGGGCCCTACACTTTTATATGTGTATAGTAGATAATTTTATTTTTTATAACATGAAAAATATTAAACTCTTATATAAATTAAGGGGTGTTTGGTACATGGGTTTTTTTGGGTTCTTGGAAAGTGGGGTGGAAAAAATTATTTTTCCACGTTTCATAGGAGGAAGAGTAAAAATAATCTCAGGTAATTTTTTCCTCACGATTTTGTTTTACACTGTGAATTCCTATAGGAGAATACCATGGATGAGATGGAATTTTTCTTTTACCATGGGAAGGGAAACTGGTCCCTCATTTCTTAGACAAAAATACCCCATCCACCAACCACCATCGAGACCACCATGCTTCACCATAGACACTGTTGAACTACCATCTCCACAAAAACTCACCAGCCATAAACCCCAGCATCTCCTCTCACCCAGACCGTCGACCATGGCAACCACATCTGTAAGAACCTGCACCGTTAAATAGGAACTTAACCGAGATGAATAATTATTAAGTATACGTTTAGGAAATAATTCCATAATTTACATAAGATAATTATAGAGGAATGATAATAACTAATATCAAGTCGCTTTTGGGAAACGCTGTGAATTTCGCGGTATAAATGGGTATCGCCGAAGTAACTCTAAAAATAAAAATAAAAATATTCCTAGAAAATGACTAAGTTAAGAACTAATACCAGGTGTGTAGTGAGTAGTACGTGTCTAAGACCCATTTCATATTCTCATTTCTTCATGAAGACTATGTAGATCATTTCCTTAAAACACTAAGAGTTATCTTTTTCCTCTCTAAGTTACCAAAGCTCTCTTCCATGGAAAACCACCAAAGATCTCACATTTCCTCACTTTTCTCCTATTGAATCACCTTAAACTCTTGAGAGTAAGCCTTGTGAGTGAGAAAGACCTCTTCTTTGAGGGTTTTAGCCACTGTTTTGTGAGGTTAGTGGGCTGCCTTCCTTGGTAGGAGTAGTTAGAGCCATTTCCCAATCTTGGAGCACCAAGGAACCATCTTTGAAGAGAAAGAACAAAACTTGGAAGCCTAAATTTGTGCACCTTCTTAGACAGAAGCTTGGGACTATAGCAAGACCTTCAAAGCTATTTCTTTTTGCTATTTGGAAGCTTAGGTATATGTTTCTACTTTTTCTTCTTGAGTTTTAATGAAAAAGATTGAGACTTGAACATGTTTATTGAGTAAAAGTGATAACCCAGTGGTGTACTAGCATGAACACACATAAAAACCACGTACTTGGATCTCTGTGTTTGATAAAAATGGACCCCTGTTGAATATCTTTGTGAACAATGCATTTCTATAGAGAAATATCCGGATATGGATATCTAGGTATAAGTTTAAGAATATTCGGATATTGATATCCTGATATGTCCCCGACAAATCCAGATATTTTGCAGTTTTCGAGTTTTATGCTTTTTGTCCAAACAAAACATATGTTGATGACCTAGGACCCTTAAATGAATAATGTGAACCTCTGTAAAATGGATTTAAGTCAGAACCTTCATGTTTGAGTGCTTGAAGCTTTGGAAGAAGCCTTCAACATGCGAAACGAAAAAAACAAATAGAGCCTTGTTAAGCTTGAAAAGCTAGATTACATCTATTGATTGGATTTGCATGTAAAATCTAGGTTGTGACACTGTGCGGACTGTTGTCTCGTGATCGGTTGGACTTGAAGGTTATTTTGTTGTATTCTACTTAATAGGTAAGCTTCGTGTTCTCATGGCTAGTCCCTTGTTGTTGCCCCAAACTCCATGGGGGGTTCGTGTACATGGTATCCTTTCCTGAAAATGATTTATGCACTGATATTGACATGATATATAGATTTGTGGCACAATGTGTTGATATATATATGCGGATGTAGTATTTTGTCTACATGCACGCGGCATCCTTGGGTGTAAGGTATGGGGGAATCCTCATATATTTTTGGTATGTTACAAACATGCATAATGCATACTTGTCTTTGACCAGTAAATAGTGATATTGCACATGTTACATGCTATATATCTAGCATTATGCATTTTATTATTATGTTGAACTTATTATAACTGTGAGTGAACTTGGGGCAGAGTGATTCTTCGAGAACCTCAGTTTATTGAGATTTGTCAAAATCTCATCCCTGTGGGGCACATTTTTCAGGAGCTGATATCCATGAGACAGACACATCTAGAGGCTGAGGCCGGCGTAGAGTTTGCATGATCACATGACACATGCATGCTTATGATTATACATTTTAATATGATGAGACATGATTATTATTTGACTTGTTGGATTATGTTGTTATTTGATGTGTGCATAGGGGTTGTCTATGCCACTATTAAATAAGCTTGTGTTATGTTTTGAGAGTATGTGCTTGTATACACCATGGTACATGAATGTTGTCATGACTACTTGATGTGGATTCATGACCAGTGTTGTTATATTTTGAGACAGGGCATTTATGCGTTATATTTATATATATACGTGTAAGTCGTTATTGCAATACATCAGGTTTAACAAGGAAAAAGTTAAGTCACATAATAGAAATAATGACTATTGGTAATATAAATAATGAGCTTGAGCATTTAAATAAGTTGCGCTTATTACCATTGTATGTTTAATAGTGCGCATGACATGTTACAACATCCCTCACCACGGCCAAGCTTCCACCGACAACCACGAATTTACTACAGTAACCACCTTCAGTTGGCACCCAACCTTGATGTCCATAGCATTAAAATCATCTGACAAATATATCAGAACAACATCGATGTATCCTCCAGAGCCGCAACGAGTTGTATCCACCTTCGCATATCGAGGATCATCAGTGATTGGATTAGTACAATTCAAGTACAGTATCATCGGAACATAAGACGAGTCCAAACTTGGCGGATCTGGTCCTGGACCAAAGAAATAATCACTGAAATTACCAAAAATAAAAATAAAAAACAAATAGCGGAGGATGAAGAGGCAAGTGGTGTCGTCCACAACACCCGCGCCACTCACTCGGATTTTGTATCTCTTGTAATCGATTTCGTTTACATAGTATTTCCCTGAAAATAGAGTTCAAATTGTTGCATTGTTCTTGCAATATAATTCATACCTCTTGTTCCCATAATTGGGTGGGTCACTTACAGTCAAAATGGGTAACTTATATTGAGAATATTGCCACAGGAGGAAGCAGGACAATCGTGAATGGATAAGGCAATACAAAAAGTTTGTAAGAATAGGAAAATAATGGTAGCAACAGTGGTTATTACTCTACTTTCCATAGTTGTCTGGATCAAGTTTTTTTTTTTTTTTTTTTTTATATTTCTAATGATGTTTCAAAAGTGAGATATTACGAGGGTAGTTTCGTAAATTCTTCCTATATTCTCATCAATATTTTATTATTAATCAAACATACAATTAGAAAAATTAACTAATATTTTTGATAATATTTTGATCTACCAAATAATTTTTTGATAACATTTTTTTAAAAAAAAAAATTTCTACCATATTTTTAATAATTGTGATTTTCGAGTAAAAAAATATTTGCCCTATACCAAACATCCCCTTATAGAAAAGTTAAAATTTCAAATGCAAGTATTACATAGAGACCAATTTCAGCCTTCACAATAATTCTCATAACATTCTGTAAGCAACAATAAATAAACAAATTTTCACAAATTTTTCGTCATAAATAATTTTTCATATTTCAAAAATAAATCAAGCATGTGCTCATAGAGTCATATAATTTGGGATTCCGTTGTAAGACAACGCCATGATATACAAATACAAAAATTAACAAAATCATTATTTAGATTATTTACAAAGAAGGAGGATATTTTGACTACCAAAATTTTTTAGTATCAACTTATTACCAATCTAATCATCATTGGATCAAAGAGAGAGAATGCTAAAAAGTTAATGAAGAGAGAGAAAATATTGATCTAATGATAATTAGATAGATAGTAAATTGATAGTAAAAAATTTTGATGATAAGAATATCCTCCTCGTTTACAAATCACCCCGAAAACTTAACCTCACTTTACTCTATTGTTATTTTCCCAAACCACCCTTTCCCACTCTCGCCAGTCGTTAACCTCACTCAACTGAACCTCAAACAAAAAAACCTAAATTCCCAAAATGCGAATCTTCACTTCTAGCAGCTCCAATTTCTTCAAATGCAAACTCGAGAATTTCGCACTGATTCCTGATCACCACAACTTCAATTTCAATTCCATCAGAGAAATGTCGCAATCCACCTCAATCCCCAAAAAACAACTAAGGGTTCGCGACCACGGCTACGACGACTACATGGAGATCGAAAAGAAAACTCGCAAGGTCCTCAAATTCCAGAACCTCATCCTCTCCGAGCCAAATCAATCGGTCCCAATCCCGCGCCTCGAAACCCTAGCGCGCCGCGTCGGGTTCACGCGGCACGAAGCCGGCGCGTTCGTCCTAAAGTTCCCGCACGTCTTCGAAATCTTCGAGCACCCGGTCCAACGCATCCTCTTCTGCAGGTTGACCCGCAAGGCCATCCTCCAGATCGAGGAGGAGCGCCACGCGCTAAAGGCGCAGATTCCACGCGCCGTCACGCGCCTCCGCAAGCTCATCATGATGTCGAACACGCAACGCCTCCGCCTCGAGCACGTGCGGATCGCACGCACCGCGTTTGGGTTACCGGACGATTTTGAATTCTCGGTGGTTTTGAGGTACCCTCAATATTTTCGTTTGATTGATGCAGAAGAAACTAGGATGAAGTACATTGAGCTTGTAGAGAGAGACCCTAGTTTAGCAATTTGTGCAATAGAAAAGGTTAGGGAGAAAGTGTATAGAGAGAGAGGTGGTGATGCTGAAGATGTTAGGTTCTCTTTTGTGATTGATTTCCCACCTGGTTTTAAGATTAGCAAGTATTTTAGGATTGCAATGTGGAAGTGGCAGAGGCTTCCTTATTGGTCCCCTTATGAGGATGTTACTGGGTATGATTTGAGGTCCATTGAGGCCAAGAAGAGGATGGAGAAGAGGGCTGTTGCTACAATTCATGAACTGTTGTCCTTGACTGTGGAGAAGAAGATTACTTTGGAGAGGATTGCGCATTTCCGGATGGCGATGAACTTGCCGGGGAAGTTGAAGGATTTCCTGCTCCAGCATCAGGGGATTTTTTATATCTCCACCAGAGGGAATCATGGGAAACTTCATACTGTTTTCCTTAGGGAGGGGTATAGGAAGGGCAAGCTGGTCGAGCCGAATGACTTGTATTGGGCGCGGAGGAAGCTGGATGAGTTGGTCTTGTTGAGCCCCCGGAAAGCTAAGGTTGATAGGGAATTGGTTGGGTACAGGAGAAGCAGGTTAGAGGATGAAATGGGACAAGTAACTAGAGCATATGTGGAGGATGCTGGTGAAGACTTTAAGGGTGGAGATGGTGTGGGGCAAGATAAGGATGCAGAGGATGATTTGTCATCAGATATAGGTTCTGATGTTGATTCTGTTGATGAGGATGATGATTTTGACGATAGTGTATCAATGAAAAGGACATCTTAAAAAGAACATACGTGGAGGATTCTGGTGAAGACTTCAAGGTTGGAGATGTTGTGGGGCGATAAGGATGCAGGGAGCCTGGGAATGATTTGTCGCCAGACATAGGTTCTTCTGATGTTGATTCTGGAGTTGAGGATGATGATTTTGAGGATAGTGTATAATGCAAAGGTCATCTTAACTGAGTATGAGGGGGAATCTTTTTTTATCTTAAGTTATTCCAATTTTGCTATTGAGAAGTCTCGATATAGTTTTGAAAATTTGAAAGCAGAATATATTTTGGAGTTAAGATTCCTGTTTTTAACGCATCTTAACTGAAGTGATAATTTTCTTTTGTGATTGATTTGACCACTGTAGTGTCTTGGTGAGACACAGGGTTTATTATGAAAAATGTATTGGAGTTGGAGTCTCCTCCTTTCGTGGAGGAGAAGCACTGCCTACTACTATGATGAGACTTAGGCATTTCTGGAAGATTAAATTGAGGATGATATCTGACGCGAACTTAGATCTTCAGCCTACAATAGATCGGTTGTATTGTTTCACTTACGGAGTGAAAGTAGTGCCTTTAGGTGGAGGAAGGTATCTACCTAGTCATGGACTCATTTTACCTGTACATACAGACAGACACCATTTTTATAGAAGAAAACACTGGGCAAACAAAGAAACAACAGCTTTAACCTTGAAGGCTCGTGTTGGAAAATCAAGTGCCTCTCTTCCAGTCATGTAAAATAACTCGTCTGCATTTTTCTGTATACCAGTCACTTGAATTAAATCACTGCACTTCTGAATTTTGACCCTAATTTACTACTTTGCCTTTAGCCTGTCATTGGATAACCACAATGTACTTAAAACAAAACCCTCTAGTTTAAGTGTTCTTCTCAGTACTTGCACTGCAGCATGCTTAACTAGACGTGCTTGACTTTGAATAGCCTGGAAGTTCAAAAGATATAATAACAATAGAAAACATTGAGTTTACTGGCAGTGAATCTGGTTCAATTTCGTTTTTTTCTTTTAAATGTTTGCAATGATAATGAAAATGATGGGGACGAAGATTGAGTTGCTGATGCTGTTTGATTTTTATGTACTTGCGATTCTCGCAATCACTAAAAATGTATGAAAAAGAAAAAAGTTTTTTTAATCTGAGCTTGCTCCTAAACATCAAAATCTTTATTTGTTTACTTTAGAAACAAATTTATTTTAGAAGTGTCCTACTTAAAAAAAACATATCCGCTACTTGACTTGACTTGACTTGGATTAATAAGTACATGTCTGAATAACAGAATTTTTTATGCTAAAATTAATTATATAGATATTAATAGTAAGGATACCAGTGAAAAATCATGCTGAACCATCCAACGATTTTTTATTTTCAAGGTAACATGCGGGCCAGAGGCCGCAGCAAAGAAAGAAACAGAAATATAAACACTGTACTCAAAGTGGTACATAGATGTCTCCCGTGAGGGTGAAATATATTGATATACGGGTGTCCATAATAACCATGGTAGAGACCAAGGCACTAATGGAGCTTCCCATGTATGTGCTAAAGGGGGAGTGTGTGTGTATGACAGCATATGAGGGGAGTGGGAAGAAGAAGATCTCCTCCCTCCATTGTGAGGGGGGTATTTAGAGAGGAGACTCCTCTTTTGGGGAAGACCGTTGGTCCTTCCTCTGCTGTCCTAAGCTATGTCTTGTCTTTAGACAAGACATGCTACTCCTGTCAGTGTACAGGAGATGCTGTGCAGGAAGGGGAATGCCCCAGTGGTGAGCCTCTATGGTTTCCCATGAGTGCTCTCTAGAAGGTTCTAGATGTGGACTTTAAGCGATTGAGCTCATCTGGTGGGCCTAAGTAAATAGCATCCGGAACAAACACACAAATCTTGGAGTAGAATTTCATAACGGATCAACAGCCCATGCTTATAAACTGGGCTATCCTTTCAAACAGTCAAACTAGCAAAATGGTTAGCTTCTTTGTTATACATACATGTGAATAATTATAGTTAAATATATTTGTTGTAATATTCAAATGTGATGAGTATGGGAGAATCTATGAATCCAATGATTTAAGATTTTGAGTTGTGATATGGTGTCGGACTCACTTAGTGTAATTGGCCTAACTTAGCCCATTGTTGGTATTCCCCTGCCTCAGACTCCTCCCTAGACTCGCCTGACAAGTGGTATCAGAGTCAGGTTGGGCTCAGACTAGCCAGGTGTTTGACTAGGAGGTGAGTTGAGTATTTTGGGCCTAGGTAATCAGAAAGAGAGAAAGCATACTAATGGTGAGCTTTACACTTGGAGAAGATATTGTTCGAATATTTAAGTGTGACGAGTCTCACATTGGTTGGTAATAGACCAAGTGAAGTCTATATAAGTGGGAGGACTCATGAACCCAATGCTTTAAGGTTTTGGGTTATGATATGGTGTCAGACCCACTTAGTATGATTGGCTTAGCTTAGCCCATTTGGCTAGGAGGCGAGTCCAGGTGGGAGCCCATCGCGGAGGATCACCACCAATGGGCTAAACTAGATCAACCACATCAAGTGGATCAGATACCATGTCACAACCCAAAACCTTAAGGTATTGAGTTTATTATATGGGTTTCACTTAGCTTATTATCAACCAATATGAGATTCATCACACTTGAATATTCCAACAATCTACCATTTACGTCTCACTATTAGTATGCTTCCCCTCTCTCCGATTACCCAGACCCAAAATACTTAACTCACCTCCTAGTCAAACATCTGGCTAGCCCGAGCTTAACGTGACTTCAAGTGTGTGATGAGTCTTACATTGATTAGTAATGAGCTAAGTGAAGTTAAGTGAGAGGACCAATGAATCCAATCAGTTACTTCCACAAAACAATAGGGCGGTAATACTTACCACCATTTTAAATTTATTACTCTTACTAATTATTTGTTATAATTAGATTAATATGAAATCAACTACAGCTATTTTTTTTTTTCTTTTTTTCAATTGTTAATTTTAAATTGATCCAACAATCAAACAGGTAGTAAGAATGGTAAAATAAATATACGGTTCCCTCAAACAATTCAAGAATTTGTTAATTTTATTTACGTGAGTTCTAAGGATTTTCAGTGGAGCTAGAGAAAGCAAGGAAAAAAAAATTAATGCTTTTCTTCCACGCAGATGTAAATCCTCTGCAGCGGCATCATGTCTCCATCTGCAGCAAATCACTTGGCAATTCATTGCTCTTCTGTCAAAGTCTTCGTCTCATGCGGGCCATACTATCATCAAGTTGCATGATTTGTATCATGACAGAACCATTGCTTTTTTTGTTGGGTGCTGATATATTTAGTGTGAACTGTGTGATACTCAAATACACAATTCAGCTGACATCTAAAAACCCAGGTACCTTTTGTGAATTGGTTTAGTTTTTTGCTTTATATTTCATTTGAGAGATGGGGTCTATGCTGAAAATATTAAAAATATAACATAAAAGTACTATTTGTTCTATAATGATAAATTAAATTCCATACTCAAAAAATTCAATAGACTTTTATATTCTTTACATCAAGAAAGCATTTTCAAGAAGGTTTATCGGTTAACAAAAGTTGTCATATTTTTGTCATACTACTTATGCAACTCTTCTAAAAGACACGTTAAGCCACCTCTATCATTATCCCGCCTCATCTACTAGTTGAAAATATTCTCAGGAACCTCAAAGCATTATCATCTAGCACGCTATGATTAAGTGGATTCAAGCTCCAAGGTATATCTTCTCCAATTTATTCAAGCTTATTTATTCAAATGCTAGTTTAAGTGTTATATTGCCTTGTAGGCAGGGGTGTAAATATGTTAGGCTAGATTAGACTTTTGTTTAAACAGGCTAGGCCTGTGTAAAAAATATTGAGTATGACCTGACCTATTAGCCTGTGTAAGCCCCAGATTACAAGTCTGACCTTACCTATATTTAAAAAATAAAAGTCTTGGCCTAGGCCTGTTAGCCTGTTTAAACCTATTAAACATTCAACAATTAAGAGAATAACTTTGGGGGCCAGAGGATGTGCCTCCCTCTTCGATTGAGGGGTTAGTCTCATCTTTCCTTCGGTAGCGAAGCTCAATGCACCCGCTGTTCCAATAAGGGGCTAGCCTACAGGGCCGTACCCCGAGGGCAAGGTGATCTCGGAGGAGGTTGAATGGAGATACCTCCAGGTTATACCAAAAAAAAAAATATTATTTTATTATTCAAAATTATTAAAATAATAATTTTATTTATTACATTTTAAATAAATAATATGATATAGGCCGACCTGTAGACTTATAGGCCCGACATGTACAAAAAAGCTTATTATCTATTTTCTAAATAAGTTTTTTTTAAAGCATAGGCATGTTTTATTTTACTATTTATAATAAACCAAGTCTAAACAAATATAGGCTAAGTCGCAGGCTCATGTAGGCCGGCCTAATCTATTTACTCCCCTACTTATTCCATGTTGCAACCCAATAAATCCCGTTGCAGCTTCTCTTCCGGCATCACTTGAATTAGACTCAATCGTGTGTGATCAGACTCAATTACTCTTGAACTAATCACCATTTATTTGACTTCAGTTAATAATTTAAACTTTTCAGAAAGCTAATTAATAAAATGGTATTAGATCACTATATGATTTAGAGTTCAATTACTGTCGGCCCAATTCCTCTAATAAAAAAAAAGTAAAATTTCATTGTGTATTTATCCACGCTTTAATCCCAGATACTTTTGCATTAAGGATAATGTTAAAAAATGTAATTTAAAATGAAATGGACATGAAAGCATAGCACGTCATTCATGAAGTTGCATGTAATTTATACATAAAACGGACATGAAAGCACCACTATCATTTAACAAGTTCCAAACAAATCAAATGGTCACGCTTTATTAGTGCGTTACGCAAGCCATGAAAAGCACCATTATCATTTGATAAGTTGAATAATCAGTGCATAACGAAAAGTGGGACTTATTTGTTTCTTCATTACGTATGAATTAAGCTGAAACAAAATTGCCTTGCTAAAAGATGGAACATCAAAATATGCCATTGATTTTTCAATGCCACGCAAACAGTATTATTTTTCAATATGCCACGCAGACAAGTTTGTTACAGTGCCCAGCAAACTTGGTAGCCAATGATTTCGTTACACGTGACACATTTTTGCAGAAAAAGTTGACTGCCGCGTGTCCAAATTCGCTACGACTGGTACAGAACTTGATAGCCAATGATTTCGTGAGACCTGACACACTTTTGCAGGAAAAACTGACTGGACGAAGTTCGCTACCAGGGGTAGCAAACTTGGTGTGCTAGGTGGTACAATCTCATTGTCCGATCAGAATTAATGTTCCAATCACAATAAAAAACAAATAAAAAAGGAAAATGACAATTAATTGTAATTAATGTATTAATCATAATTAATGTACCAATCACCAATCACAATTAATATATCAATCAACATTCACAATTAATGTACCAATCCCAATTACTGTACCAATCGCAGTTAACTTTGATCGCTACATTAATTGTTTGTGATATCATTGTTACAAATTCGAACGATGTTTGTGAGAGATAAAATATGTCAAATGAGGTGTCATTAGGTAGATCTTGAAAAGTTATATGAAATAAAATAAAAAATATCTGATTTGGATATCCGAATCAAAAGTTATGACCCTACGAAGTGATTGGTAATTAGTACATTAATTGTGATTGGTACAATCAAAAGTTAATCTTATTTGTGCGCTAATTGTGATTGACACATTAATTGTGATTGCTAATTAGAACATTAATTTTGATTGACACATTAATTAAATTGTCATTTTCCTTCATTTTCTGTGTTTTATTGTGATTGATACATTAATTCTGATTGTGTCACGTGGCACCTAGTTCGCTTGGACCTTCAACGAACTTGGTGCATGTCAGACATGTGGCACACTTAGTTCTTTGTATGCGGCAGCGAACTTCTCCAATGTGTCAGCATTTATTGC